ATATCCAATGTTCCGCCATTGAACTTGTATACGGCACGACATTGCGTCTGCCCGGAGAATTCTTCACACCACGGAGCAGACCTAATTTCGGTAAATCAGACTACGTCCATCGACTGTCTGCATTTATGCGAACGCTGCCTCCGGTGTCAACTCGAATACAACGTCGACAGGTCGCTCTCCCTCGAGAGTTATCTACCTGTTCACATGTTTTTGTACAAGTAGATTCGGTACGCAAACCTTGGCAACAACCTTACGAAGGCCCTTTTCACGTGATCGCTCGTCACGAAAAGACCTTCAAGGTTGATCGATATGGACGCGTCGAGATCGTCAGCATTGATCGTCTCAAACCAGCACACGTCGATGACAGTGCCCTATCTGACACCCTGAGATTCAATGCTAGACCTATCAAACCTAGCGGGATCCTTAAATCTTCTTCAGGTCCCACGCTAGATGCATCTGAGACCTCATTCTCACGTCCCGGTCAACAGCACGCGTCATCTGCACCGTCTACGGACGAGACGACAGTCTCACGTCCAGATCAGCAGACCACGCCGCCCTTGACTTCGGATGAGATTGCAGGCTCACGAAATACGAACGAGACTGCCGTCTCACGTTCCGGTCGCCGAGTACGGTTCCCGTACGCTTCCGCGACTAGTCGCACAGTCAACAACCGATACGGTGTAGGATTATTCCTATACTACACGTATGCTACACTCTTCTTTTTTTGATTTTCTTTTTGTTTCCTGAGCCCACGCCTTCGACCATCCCCGTTTGGTTCCGTCGACTTCAGTCAACTTTGGCGAAAGCTGGCCTGATCACCCATGCTCTTGTCAACGCACTCAGTCGATACATTGGTTTCGAATGCTTGGCACACGCTTGGTCACGAACTTGGTCGTAACGGTCGCTTCTGGCTTTTGGCTCAACGTGGTTTCGTCCTACGTCTGCAGCGTTTCTGGTGCGCACCTCTACGAACGCCCTCTTCAGATTCTGGATACAAACCACTCTGGTGTAGCATGCCAACTCAAGCAACAAATACAACACATCGCTCCTGGTACTGTTCTCCGAAAACGACCTTCGTTGGCAACTCGACGATCAACGATCGCTTTCCTGTTCGCCAATTCTTCCGTCCTACAATCGCTCATCAGCCGATCAGTCCCACGATTCAAACCGCTATTTATCGAAAGTGTAAACCCTTTCTAGCGGGGGGCTCCTGTAGTGACTCACGTTTATCACGAGAACACGACTGGTTTAATAAAAACAATTATTATTACAACCAACTGTACCAGTGTTTGTTTTAATGTGCTTTTGTTTGACTGTGCTAATGACAGCTATTTTCTGCTTCCATTCTTTCGCTTACACTTTGATTGTAACTTCGCGCGAATTCGGTTACGTTCTGTAACCAAGCTTGTATCCTGGCACGATCTCGGTATCCTTTCGATGCCACGAGATCGCCAGCTAATAAACATCGACTTGGTCCATTAATTGCCTTCTGGTATTCGGCTTCTCGGGGATTTTATGGAGTCATTTGGAACGAGATTCTTACGCCTTCTGATTCGCTTGGCACGTGTTTCCTGGTAGCGGTGTCCATAGTTAACCTCAACTCGACCCCACGCTACAATCTAACAATCTTGAAGGTACTTTCCCAGGCGAATGATTTATTACCACATATGATGGATCATCATCTAATTGAGCGAGCAATACCTATTCTGCTGATGCTTCCATGTTTTTATAAGACAAAATATTCAGGTTTTCATGAAACAACGCTGAATAATTCTTCGAATTCAGGATGCTCTGAACTTTAATCTTGTCATACTTTATTGTAGGGGATAACTTTTATTAGTTGAATCCTTTAATCTATCGTTTCTCTTACGATATGTGTAGACCAAGAACCACCCGCCTTCCATAATTTGTAGAAATTTACTAGCAATCAGATGAACATCAAGAGGTTCCGTTTCAATCGTAGAGTTTAACATTCCTGAGAGAGTCTTTTTCGGCTGCCGATTGATTAGGAGTACGCTCGATTACTTTGTTGGTGGGCTATTTCACTCAAATCCAGCGGGAAATGGGGTTCTAACACGTTTAAGCAAACGCCAAGGATAGCTTTTTTCACCTTTCAATAACCCTAATAGCCCCAGAAATCAACGTACAACCTTTCGAATCGATTTGATAAGTAAAAAATAATAGAATAGTTAACTTCAAGGCAAAGAGTCCAGTGAGTACATCTGAATGCACTAGTGATCAATGACTGATCCACAAACGGATCATTATTGTGTAGAAAACTAAATTGAATTACTTTTAAACCTCTTAGTTAGATTCGAAAAATCTACCAGTACTTCTTGAAACTTCTCAGCTACTACGGGCGAAGTTCCCACCAAAGTTAAATAAACGACTGGACCTTGATTGCCACTTGTTATCTCGATATCTCTCAACGTTTCTGACAAAGTTCCTTTGTGTAGTCTAAAGATTCATATTTGTCTAGAGCGCTTATTGCAGGTATTACCAGACAAAAGTCTGAGATGAACAACTAAAATAATCGCTTTTAAGTCTAATGTTAAAGTTTTGTGTCTGGGAGTTTCGATTTCGGTATTTTTAGCAGGAGAGTTTGTCGTTAGATTTCAGTTTCATTTTGAGGAATGATTCTAAGCACCGCACATATATCCACTGGAAATTAAGTGTCAGAATTCCTGTCCCTGGCGTCTACTTAGACACCACTTAGTAGTTGTCACAACGTGCAGAAAAGTTATTCGTTCTCCACATTCTTGCGGGTCTGTTTGAGCAGGGCGCATGGTTGACTAAATGTAATCGATAAGGCACCGAATTTCCAGTTGTACTGATAAAACTTTCTCGATTTTTTATACTGTACTGACCTGCTCTGCGAACCTGAAGTTTGTCGCTGCGATAACCTCTTCCGTTTCCTACAACTAATTTACAGTTAGACAGTGGTCCCTGAAAGACCCTCGACCTATTCATTAAGCTCTTTTGTGCACGAGTCATTAGGTGGTTTATTTTTAGTTTGGATTTATGGTAAGGTGTCCGGGTATATACATTTAGGCGGTTTTAGATGTAATATAGTAGGGTCTGTATCCATTCTGTTTTTAGAATTGCTTCATTCACAATCGTGACCTAAAGCTTAATGTTCCTCCGTGAAAACATCGTTGGATTCTTTGGCCATTTGATGTTCCAATATCTTGCGTTCTATGGGAGTAATCGGTCGTGATGTTTGGTCACTCAAAGTAATATCATGGAGTTTTTCACTGACTGAAGAGTGAAGTATGGGGCACAAATCCTGATATAACATTCCAATGGACTTTGTTTGAGCATGGGGAAGTAGTTCTTCAAACTTCATCAAACTACAGCTGTGGGTCGTCACGATGAAAGATGAGAGTCAGGGTTTCATAGTCACAACACTGTCTTCCTATACTAGTGTAAAACTGTGCTCATTTTCATCATTATCACTTTGTATTGAATCCGAAAGCTTACGATTCTGATCAGTATCTTAACAAAATATAAACCGAGAAAAAAAGCTCTACACTAACGGTGAAATCAAAATGTTTTCAAATGAATAACAGTGCAACTATTAACTACACCAGTTCATCAAAGGGCAGTCTTTTTATAAGTACACAAAATGTTTAAGATATTGCTTGCAGTCGCTGTTTTTCCCATTTTTACTCTTTGACTGGCTTGGAGAGCAAATGGGTTTTTCAAAGCAAGTGATTACGCATGTATTGGACACTTTTAGGTGATATTGTTTTGTGGATAACAGAAAGCTAAAAGACTTCAGCTTACTATCTGTCGAATCTAACTCTCAAAGATACGGCTTTTCCGACCCAGTATACTGTTGTACACAAAGTTTTGATAAGAGCATAGTTAAAACAGGCTAACTACATGAGGTCATGAATTTTCATTTTTCTTTGACACATTATTGCTCAAGCTACTAAACTCGAATCAGTACGGTCATCACAAAGAGAAAAAAACCAAAGCATATGTATCGAACGATGGTCGGACTGTATAATTGAAAATCACAAGAATTCCAATATAAATGTGATCATTATGGGGAAGTCACTATAGAAAATATCTAGTTTTGACGCAATAATTCTCTAAATTTTTCGACAGATGTCACGGAAAAGCCTGGCTATAATAACAACCCAGAAGTTTCCACTCATGTATTCCATTTTTTCCTGTCGATTGCGCACGGTAAGCGCATTGCCAAAAAAGCTTAACAGCAGATGGCTTTAAAGTTACTGATTAGTGCATTCTGGCTGATGAACATCCACAGAGTCTAGACCAGAACTCACTTCGCCCTATCGTTTCTTACCAGAAGACAGTTGTATACGATCCCACAATGACAAACTATATAGTGTGGCCAAATATCTATTTGCAGGGAAGTATTACTCGACTAAGCAGGCCTAAATTATCTAGGAATCTTAAAAAACTTGGATTGTGAAAGGGTTTCTTCACTCGTTCTCTCATTTATATAAGTTAATCCGATGACGATGTCACAGGTATTCAGTGTTTGACAACGCTTTTACTAGTAACACCTAATATAATTCGTTACCACCCAGAGAAATCAAAAGACAGAGTCGAGGAGATCGGAAGAGTGTATTTGGCGGTTACCAATATATCGGAATTCTCTGATCTAATCTGGCTAGCGATTGCGGTAGATGTTGAGCACGGCGTTACCACACGTGATCTGGTGCGGATGCACGACCGAGCGCCTTCAGCTAGATGAGTCCACTAAAACTAATCTGGTCAGCATCCAATGTGGAAAACTTACAGAGCTATTTATTTTGGGGATTTATTTACCGCTACACCGAAAACGACAAAAAAATGGGCATGAATAATATTTAGTCCCAAAAATCTGGTATAAAGCATAAAAATATTAGTGTACAGAAAATTAAGTGAAATGTCAGCGACGTGTCGAAGTGCATATATATGCATATACAAATTTTCTGCTGACAGTTTCCATAAGACGATTGTACATTTCAGTTTTGTTTAAAAGACTGTGGTGTTGTGGATCGACCGGGGAACTTTTGTCTCGTTTCCTGACCTTGACTTCCCATTTTGGGCAGGCGGGCTTTTGGATTACGACCTGTTGATTGATGCCGTGTCTTTTGAAATCTCTTGTAATACGGTTAGTTTGCTTGAGGAATCAAAATGCAGAAAATTTTCATTGTTTTTTCTTTAGAACATTAATTATGCCACTTACTCTGTATTTGGATTTCCATAATTGCGAAAGCCGTGCTGCCACGGCTTGTTGGTTATTGCTAGGAAATAGTGTGTTATAGGGTGTGAGACTATGATTTATGGACGACTTTTCAGCGACGCTGGACTAACTTTGAAAGTGTACACCTATTTACCAATGCTGAATGAACGTTATACAATAGTTTGAAGAATATGGGTTATAATTTTCAGTTGGTGGTTAAGGCTAGGAATTAGATTTAGGGTTTTCACCATGAACTGACATCACCTATTATGCCAAAACTCTGTTTTGCCAAACGGGTGGGTGAGTTTTGTTGCATTATCTAAGACCTGTTATCGTAAATCTGATTGGTTTGTCCATAGACTATAGTCTTGCCTTAAAGGGAATTCGCAAAGAAATGGTTTAACTCTCTTGAACTCCTAACTTGTTTCCCTTATCCTTTTCCAACATTGTTCGGGTTGTATGCTGTCCGACGTTCTCCAGTGCTTATCGATTTTATTGTTCCCGTACGGTGAAAACGCTCGCGTGCCAGCATCCTTGATCAGACATGGAACAGCTATTTAAATGCAACATTCTAAATAAGGCCTCACAAATAGAGTATAAAGTCCCTAGCATATCTTCGAAGCATTTTGAAGTTCGACAAAGTGACCACAATTCGAAAACTAGCAGCTGCTGCATTCCAGTAGGCAGTTACTCTCAAGTCGCGACTTACCAATAATTTTAGGTCTTTTTGTTTCCACACATGTGGTAGTTGTGTTCCAATGATGGTATACTAGTAACTATTACCATCTCCGGTGGTCATTAGTACCCTTTTTTAAATAAATGTTTGAATTCCAACTTTGCGACTGTCTAACTGATTACTCTAAATCACCTTTGATATAAATGTGTTAAGCTTCATGCACTATTATTCTCCAAACTTTCACATGATCTCCAAAAAAATTTCGAGGGCTTAAGCAGTTTTAGTAATTCATTGACGCAGAGAAGAAATAATAGGGGACATAAAATGGTCCATCGGGCCACACCACTTTTAAACTGGTTTCCATTCAGATGGTGTCCCACTCATCTTCATTTCCTATCTTTGACCATAGGAAGTTCTGCATGAGCCCTAGGTGAGAAACTTTATCAAATCCCTTTGTGAAATTTGTAAACATTACACGGACAGAAAAATCACTTTCTTGGGCTATCGTCCAATCCTCGCGATAAGTAACTTAGTCAAACATGAATGTCTGTCCCGAAACCCATGTTCCTCCGGCTTTAACAGACTAAATAATTTTACATAGGTAAATGGGTCTGAATTTTTCTTTCAAATACCGTAATACTAGTTAGACTGGCAGCTTGGTAGTTAGACATGATGTCTCTTTCCATTCCTAAAAACAGGCTAACGATAGTATCCTTCCAGGTCCTAGGGTGTTGATTTCGCGAAAAGGACACATTGAACAACGCTGTGAATGGCTTAGAAATTATGTTCTCGGGGGTTGGCAATAATCGTGGATGTAACCCATCAAGACCCGGTAACTTACCAGATTTAAGGCTAATAAGTAGTGAAAAATGACTTCCATTGTCATACGCACTGTTTTTGTAGTTGTCATCTCAGCAGTACGCCTATGAGAAGTGCTGATGACAACATTCTGGGAGTATACCACGCTAAAATAGATTGACAAGCTTCCATCCAGTGTGTTTAAATCAAATCAATTAACCATCATTGACAGGTATTTGGGACGTAGTTGCATATGCCTTTTCTCCCCCTACTTCGACGTGTGCTGTTGACTAAAGTTTTAGTTGGTTCTTAAATGATAAGAGTAATCAAACCAAAATGCGGCATGTCTACAAATTCGCTGACTGTCGACTCAAGGCTTGTCGTTATGTGCGGTCTACCTGGTTGTTGTTTGCTCGACTATTATGAGCAGTGGTAGATGTTAGCTCAGAATCAGTTTCAATGAGGCAGATCCATTCACTCGTTACCTTCCTTTCGATATTTGGTTTCAAAGTCATTTTATACTTTCTACTCCAGGGACTTCTCAAGTGATATTCTCTATACTAAATCTTTTTCATTATTACTCATACTACTGCGTCTACAACTTTGATGTCTTGGTCACTTCTCGCTGTGCTAGTATAAAATGGTGACTGACGAGCCGACCGTTAGTCGTCAAGTAGTGAGTTAGTGGTTAAGGAGATTGACTTTCACTCAATAGGTCTTAAACTCAAACCCCCATTCATCTACATCTTAAGCCATCGAGTAGTGCCATCATCCCTCACTTAACACGTGGCTTATACTAAAGTATGGAGCGAACGAGTTAGTTATATATTATATCATATTTAGCCCTCACACATTTAGTATCTTCCTGTACTTGGCAGATAAACTGGTACTCGGTCACCGAAATTATTCACCATTAGTTTAAGCTGTGTAGAGTATCACCTCATGAATTCGTGATCACTTAATCTAATGGCTTTTGTAAAGTTTAAAGTTGACTAAAGTGAGGCAGGTTCATTCATTATGTATCCTGTAAATTTTAAACTGTCATATCTTGTATCAATTCTTTGTTTAATTATGACTTTGTTCTAGCCGGCTTTAATGTATCCCCCGTTCCTTCGTTACTTTTTCATGCTGTTGTAAGTTATGATAGGTTATGCAATCTTCACCAAATCAGTTGACAATCAATGTCTGTAGGTATAGTACGTACTCTTCACATTTTAGATACAAATTACTTTTACAAGACTACTACAAACCTGTGCCTGAAATCACTCTGAGTGATGGAGTGTTAAAAGTCTTCAAAGTTCGTGTATATATGGTTGTTTGTGTGTCAGTTGTGACGCAAGTGATGGAACTAATCTATGTGTAGCGAAAGCCAAGGCAGGTTATGCTAACCTGGGCTATTTTCGGGACCGTTGTGACATTAGTCTGTCAGCAAAAGGTGGGGTCTAGAACGCGTTGGCAATAGCAGTTCTGCTCTATATTCGAGAAACCTGCCCTCAAATCCCTGGTACAACCGAGGATTGGTAGAGTCAGCTCCTACATTGCCATGTGCATGCAACCACTGTCAGGGAAGTCCTACTCACTGCCTTCTCGTGTAGGGAGTGTTGTTTACGAAATTGGAAGGACAAAAGCGGCTGTCCGGCGCTTTAACAGGGTTAGTGGATGTGGAAGATCCACCTAGGACAGTTGGAAACCCTGATTCCAAACCAATAGTGCACATGAGCTCCAGTATTCTGTAGGAACAAATGGCGTATGAACCTATTGTTGGTCACCCGCTACCATGGGACTGCATCTGTTGACGTTGCTCCACTGTCTTGTGGATTAGACCTTTAGGTCTAAGGCTCCGGGTGTGGCCCTCTTAAACATGAGACCTTACCAGAGATGGCTTGAAGTAAAAGCCAATGACAATCCTGCTGTACTTTTACTTTACTTTCTTTGAACAGTGAGGGGAACGAACTTTAAATGAAGGCATTCTTTCAGGTTGTATTTTTCTTAACGGAGCTGTTTTTCCCTTTATTTTCTACTCTCATCCACTTATTTAGTTTTGATTATACTCATCCTCCTTCCTATATCTGTTCACAATCTCATTTTCTTATATGTGTAGCGCATATCTATTTCAGTGCCCGTTTGTACCAATATTTGTGTGTTCAAGCAAATGAACCAACAATTATGATAATCAGTTCAGCGTTAAAAGAGATTTTACGCTACTGCATCCGTTCTGCACTACAGCTAGTGGTATGACAGAGTTGCAAGTAGTATGTACAAACAACAAATTGTATAGTTGAAGCTCCGGGAACCAGATTCTTAGTCATATCCCTGGCTAAGCAGTAAAAGTGGAAAGCAGTTCGAACCTGTGAATACTTAATCTTAATCCACCCAACCACTGGTAAAATAATATGAAAGAAATCTCCCAACAAGTACATGCAGTCATACAAACTCACTTACTATGATATTGAGTGTACAAAGTCACATCAGGGAATTGAAAGTAAAATCTGTAACTTCGACATATTCTTAATTAAATATACACACATGACAAAATGTCTGTTGTGCCGTTTCTTTAGGGAGTTTGATCAAGTTCGTAAAATTTTCGTTGGAACAATAAGTTGACGTTACAGTAAAATCTGAAGATAGTTACGTGTTTCAACAATCAGGCAATTGTGTATCCGTTCCCCGTTTTACGTTGATATTATTCCTCTGTTATTTATTTCTGATCCTCCTATTTTTCAATACTATCACTATTTTTGTTCTCACGCCTTAGCTTCTAATTTTAATGAACTCCTTTCTCTGTATTAACTTGAGATGTGACAAACGAGGTCGAAATATGTTTTGCCGTGTTCTCTTTCCGTCCATACTTTCCAAACATGTGTAGAATCACAGAGGTCTTACAAGTCTATGTACCGAAAGCTTATCCAGTATCTAAAGCAATACACTAATAAATATATTCTATTAAAAGTTAATCAAGAATAAGCTTAACTGTATGATACTTTAGTAAAATATTTGTGGAGTTTCGGTGGTCATACTATGGAACTAATGATGTTAAAATAGAAACCAGTAGCGGCTACGTTATAATTTTCTTTCTTTTTAAAGGTAAAGATGTGCTTTCGACATAGACCGAATCTACTTAGATGGTGTCTTCTAACGGCTCTTGTTATTCATTATTGCTACATGTCTTTCAGCTCCGATTTCTCCATAATATCATTTTGTTTTGTTTAGCACTTTTCTATTGTGAGTGAGTAGAGGTAATCGACTTATTGATAATAAACAAGCTTTTTCTAGTTTCTGGTATTCACTTCCGGCACATAGCTAGTAATAAAGTCAGAATGCCTTGGGTCCTTTATTGTTGTACGGTGTGTCAACCAAACGAGTGCTTGTGTTTATTTGTCTCTGGAACGGTACAGTACAGATTGATTTTGGTTTATACAGCTGATAAGGAAATCGAGAAAGGGTAATGTTTACCTGTCTATAGAACCTTGCCACTATCTAGGCTGGTGATGCCACCTGGCCACCCAAATAGTAATGTAACAAGGTCCTTACTTGGTTGGTAGCTGATTGTCTTGACCACTCAACCACATTTCTATGTTTGCGGGGAAAGCTTTCACACTCGGGCTACTATTGTCTATAAATGATAATTTAAGTGACAAACTAAGCCGGTACTATTCAAAACAAGTTGTCATTTAACTTTGTAGATGGACTTTAGTAAATTCCATTCGGGGAAAAATGTTTTATTCAAATCATCGAAAAGGAAATGTTACTAATTACTCTTAGGGAAGATTAAGATGACATCAATACGTAAATTTTCACTCAATTGTTGCATCTAACGTCTTTTGTGTATTCCTTAATCATCAACCAATACAACAGATAAAAGCTATTTAATCAAGCCTAAATGTCTACTAATCATGAGATTTCCAGCTATTGAAGATACCTTCAAAAGTATTTTATAAGTGTCTTATTCGTTATCGTATCGTCCACTGATTTTGTGTACTTTATTGTCCTTTTGATATAATGTAACATGTAATAGGCTGAACCGTCAAACCTTTTCTGTGAAAATGTTCCTCTAGGCGAAATCAGACTAAAATCACCTTCATAAATATACTAACATAGGATGTATTTTATGTCCCAACCCATGCTTTTTATGTAGTTATTAAACATCGCTCTAACTCACACCTATTCTAAGTGTATTCATTTATTCTATTAATCAATAAATCCACTATTTGTTTTCCAGGCATGCGAACGTACAGTTCGTTGTATGGCCTCGTGTAATACAAATGGGCTTCTGAAGTATTATGCAGATGTCATTCTAAATGGGGATAACCTTATTTCACTTACTCAACCCCACAATAGTTTTGATAACAACGATTCTACTGAAAGAAAATATACTAATATAATGGCTCCTCGGACAGATCCTTCCTTTGTTTCAATGCCCGTGCAAGTAAACGGTACTTCCGATGCTATTAAAAACGATAGTACAATGGGAAATGAGGCTGAACAGTCTGTTTCTTCTGAACAGGTTTCATCTGATAAATCACAGAGTTGTCTTGCTACCGACAATGAGACATTAATTCCAAGCTCACAATCTGATCATATTTCCACAAAGCTTCAAAATCAAACTGTTTGCGACAAATTAATTGATTATGAGAGAACTCTTCAAAATCATTCTTTGCTCACACAACGTTTATCTGTCTGTTCTCAGCGTTTATTTCATAATCGCACTAGAGCCCTCAGTTTATTAACACGGTTGCTCGCCTGCAACTCTTCTGTATCACAAGATGAATTACTTTCCAGCGATTCTTTGCCTAGCATTATATCACCAAATTTGACGTATGAAGATACAGAAAGTAGTACCGACGACGAAGCTGAAATGAAGAAGGCTTTGTCCAGGTTCGTTTATTAACTCACACAATAAACCCGTTTGTTTAGCTCTAAACAGTCTTGGTTATACACTCGTTCCGTAACGCATTCAAACTGGCATTGGTTATGTACAGAAATAAAACATGCTGAAAAATGTTTACAAAATCTTTATATGTTAAAAAATAACTCTGATCAAGAAAAGTTATCTCAGTATCAAAGTAATAGTAATAACATTGAAAATGATGCAGAAGTTAGCTGTTCTCGTACATCTCCATACATAAATACCAAACGGAAACGACATACTTATCACAATCTCTCATCACCTAAATGCGCTAGTGTGATACAGGAACTACGTAAGTTGCTTGTACTCTCAACTACTCTTTTTAGGCAAACATTCACTTAGTGATCCTCACATTAAATGCTCTTGCATTCCCCCATTTATTGGACCATGCATCTTATGCTGTGGATCTGAACCAAGTACTAGTCACACGGAGTTGGCAAATAAATCAGATGAACGTGATTTACTTATGTCAGCCCACTCGTTATGTAGTCATATTCATCCTAAATTGTCAATTCCAGGAGGTTGGTTTTATTTTTTTATGGTTTATGTCAGATTTCATGTTTTTTTTCTATTTTCAAACTAGTCGTATCCCTGTGAATGTAAATAAAAGTTGTTTAGTCACTTTTATCCATACCAAGTTTCGGAAATATTCATTTTCTTTTCCGTCCATCGACTAATGATAAATTCATTGGTGTAAATGGATATTCTGGATATCAATTCTCACTAACTCCTCTGTTTTAGATGTTTGTATCCGACCAAATAGTCGGTATTATACTGCTAACCTTAATCAGTTTTCCTATTTTTGAGTAAACCCTAGGTATTATGTAAAAAGTAACTCTGTAGGATTTAGGCTGCTGGTACTACAAGTATTTAGATTCTCATAATCAAATCCCACTGCATGACATAAATACATTCTAAAAGTGGAGTATATATTTTTATTCCCGCAAATCAAAAAATGGAAGGTATGTGTTTACATATATGAGCTCCATAAAAGAACATTTTTTTCATATTCCCTGCAGTTTGATGAATTTGGGAATAGGGGATGACATGAAAAGGTAATGTTACTCAGTTTGTGACATAACACTGTTGAATAAAGTATATTTTTTATTGAATTAATAGTTTATGATAATCTTCCATGCATTCCCTGTGATTGTCAAAAAATGTTATACAGCAGTAACTAAGGTCACTATAATATGGTGTGCTTAAAAAATTCAGTAATTACTATATATCCTTTTCATTATCCATAAAAACACTTGCTATAGTTGGGGTATGATCGCATAAGATCATGATTTTTGTGATGCTTTTTCTATTACATTTGTGGTTGCGCACACTTTTTTATTTGCTTAATTGTGTGAATAAAAATATTCCACTTCATTCGAAAATGTTCATGATGATCCTGTTTATAGTAGAAGAAATTCCTCTGAGTAATTTGTAGCTTACATACTAGCAAACTATTTATTTACCGTATGTTTTAGGCTTTTTATGGAATATTCGTTGTCTGTGGCAGCAATCTAGTCAACAAATCATAGACAACGTAAAACCTGGTGTATGTAAGTATCAGCTCAAGTTGCTACACCGTATTAATACAGTGATGTAATGCCATCAGAATGAATACCAATGTAGAAGTAGTTGTAGTAGTATCAGTGGTAGTAAAAAAATGATTACTTATAGAGAGTAGGATTCGAAAAGAAAGAATTAATTCGTGAAATGAAATGTGGAATGTGAATCTGATCTAAGGAAAGTTTTTTTTATATAAGTGTTGACTAAACCACATGAACACAGTCACTCAAAGTTCGACCGTTTAGTCAAGAACTAGGTATCAGTAATAAGACGTATGTTGATACAAGTATTGAGTATGAGAAACGGATGCGGTTCGCAATATAAATATGTCTGTTATTCATGTGAACTATAAGGGTATGTCTGTCTACACTCACTAAGAAACCACAGAATTCTTTGACCTGACATCAAGAAGACATTACTATTGGGATTAATTATGAACCATGTTACCCGACATCATCCAATGATCATAATGGTTACATTTACTTCAACCAAGGAATCTGCACCTACCAACATAGTTTGGACCAACAGAAATTTCAATAATTGAATAAAAGTGCTATCAATCGATAGCTAGACTGTATTTGTGCGAGACATAATTAGGGTTGTAATAGTCATCTGTATTGATATATCCAACCTTCATTTGGGATCATTATCTATCAATACAGCACTGAAATCACTCAGATAGTTCAGATTTCTCTATATATGAGTATTCTGTGCTAGTTGTTGGCAAAAATATTATAAAAACCTGTCTGCTCGCTTCTCATGCTTCTGACAAAGCATTCGCATCATAACACCAATGTTCGCAACACTTTAAGATAATATTAGTGCGTTTTTTATCATTATTTCGTATACTCCGATTATTTAGATCTAACTGTTAACAAATCATAGTTGAGGATTCTAGTCACTAGGTTTATATGGGTATTGTTACTAATTAAAATTTCATTGATTATGTATTGACAGTTGTTATAATTCTCTCTTACGGTTATAACCCAGCTATTCCCATTGCTTAGTATTCTCGGACACCAATTCACTCGACAAGTCCCCAAATCAGAACATGGTTGAACAGGAGATTATATTCCAAATAACAAGGTTAGATGGAAGTAAGAATCACAATAGGGAAATCGTTAGTATATTTATAGTTTTTACATGAAAAGATTTCTAGGGTATTCTCCAAGTATCGACTAGCGCTGATTGGCTAATTCTTATCCAATCAGCGTGCGCCAACACAAGCGTGCATTGAGCATGATTCAATCCAATCTATGTCCCGCTAACAACAGTATAGCTAATTCATACGATATTTGCGAATTTTCATGAAATCATGAGTGACATCATGATTTACACAATCGAGATTACTATATAATGACGACTAATGCTTACACCATAATTTATTTTAGATGTCCAACTAGGTCTTCGTTTAGAATCCCGTCTCGCTGCATATTCATCAGTTCATTTCCGACCCCATAAAGCCACTGTGCATCGTGTTCAACCGTGGGACAAACCAAATTGCCTTCAGCCATTAGAGCATATTAATCGCCATACACCTAATACATCTAAGCTTAGCACTCAATCCAATCAACCAACAGTAAAACCACCAGAATGTCCGCCGTCACAGACAAGAAATTCTCATTTACGCAAGCGCAGATTACTATCGTCCAAAAACTCACGTACTTATCCTTTATCCTCAGCACATTCAGTGACGTTACCTCCTAAAAATCCAAGATCTGTACAGGTAAGATTTGTATTGTTTTCGCGCCAATTATGTGTTAATGGTGCTTAATCTGCATAATACACAAGTTTTATTTATTTATTTATTTAAACACATAAACATTGGTATAAGAAGGCACCAAACAGATATGCGCCACATAAATCATTCGATTTGTATGAGGGCTGGGATACTGTCCGGGTGCCCAAACAGAAGCAGGTGGTTTCCTCAGGGGGCCACACCCGGAGCCTTAGACCTAAAGGTCTAATCCACAAGACAGTGGAGCAACGTCAACAGATGCAGTCCCATGGTAGCGGGTGACCAACAATAGGTTCATACGCCATTTGTTCCTACAGAATACTGGAGCTCATGTGCACTATTGGTTTGGAATCAGGGTTTCCAACTGTCCTAGGTGGATCTTCCACATCCACTAACCCTGTTAAAGCGCCGGACAGCCGCTTTTCGTCCTTCCAATTTCGTAAACAACACTCCCTACACGAGAAGGCAGTGAGTAGGACTCCCCTGACAGTGATCGTATGCACATGGCCATGTGTGACACTGAGGCTTTTTCCCTTTATTCGTGTTTGAGTAGACTGCTGTCTTCCAACTTTAGTTTTTAAATAAATCTGTAAACCCTGGTTGTCCGGGTAAACTCTATCATACATGTATTCTTATCACTTTGTATCGAAGTTTAGGTTTCTTTCTAAGCTGAATGACTGATATACTGAAATTAGCCGTACATAGCTGAAAGTGTAGGCACTTGTCGGCTGTCAATCTGAATGTCGCGAGTTCATTTCCCGGTTCAACTTAATCGGTTTGAACTGTCTATTAGCAGCTGATCAAGAGAATAAACCCATATGTAGTAAATAAGTTGCGCTAGTACTGCAAAGAGTTAAAGATATTGCCTAATCGCAACAGTTTGGTATTTATGTATGTGTTGCCTGATAGCTGAAAATCAATTTGCAAAATTACTGAGAAATATGTATTTACATTTTGGTGTGACAGTAATTAAACTGTGTCACTATTCATTAGTATTTAAAAACAGTATTCTAATCAAATACAGTGAAATATACTAGTCATAGTGTTTCTTAATATAGTTACTCTGTAGGTTTCTAATGTCAGTGTATGAACAATCACAGTGTCCAGTTCAGATTAATGTTTATTGACTGTGTTGTATTGTATCTCGAGATTATCTTAAGCTCAACCTAAGGCAGTCATTAATTACGAACACTTTTTTGGTCCTGGTTAATCTTTTGTTTCCTTTTTCATGCTGTGTGATTTCAGCTTGACGTCATATTCGTAGAATCATGGTTTGTCACTATTAATAATGGTGACTATCTGTATTGCCTACCTATCTTACTTTCTGGACATATCATTTCACTTATTTACCATGTACATGCTTAAGCGTCTAAATTTGAGATCTTCCATTTGTATGTGTTTTCAGTGCTACATAACTGTCTAAACCAAAGTAGATAAGATTAGGGACCAGTCTTTCACCTCTCGCCGCAGTATTTGAGTGTTCTTACCATCAAGCTGTCGAATTTACTTCACATCTTTACAAATATTGGGAGTTACGTTAAAACTCCTATAGGTCAGTATCGAATGTCTAGACTATTGATTTTTTACTAATATAATTCACATCATTTGTACAACGTTTTTGCTTGTTGTTTTTTCCTCACAGAACTCCAACAATAACACTAATAATAATAATAATAAAACTGAAGAGCAATAAATCAAGATAAATCTCAATTACATTATGTAATCCTCGAAATATTTGTGCTTTTTCTGTCCATTATATGTGTATTGTATATGCTTGTGACATAGATTATTAGATTTCCTTTATATATATATATATATTCTCATACCTGTGTAACCTTTCTTTTTTATTATTACTATTATCCGGTAAACAATTATTTATTGTCTGTTTACATCTGCATGTATGCATGTATTATTATTATTATTATTACTATTACATATTTATATACATAAGTATATATTATGGTGAACTTGTATTAAACGCATTTATTATATCTAGTCCTTCACTGTAATTTTCAACAGTAAATTATCTTCATGAAGAGGAAGGTTTTGGTACACTTTTCATTCCTTAATCTCTAGAAGAGACCAACTAAAATTCATTGTTGTGTCTGTTCGCTTTATAAATCAGATAAAAATGACAAAATATTATTAACAAATCTTTCATATTTCTTACTATAATCATTATTATTATTGGTATTAGTAGTAGTATCTTTCTATCACATCACAAAAGACCATTTTTATCTTATTTCTATTTACGGATTAATGAATTTTTGTATCATGTTCTTCTCATTCTCTTTTTTTCAAATACGAAAATTGTATTAATCTGAACTGTTTTGTATTTGCAATAGTGAGGATAACATACGTTTTTTTTTCGGTTTATAAAGAAAGTGTGTTAATCGCTTCCTGTTGTTGTTGTTGATGATGTTGGTGTTGTTGCTGTTTTTCTTTAGAAAGAAAAACTCTATTGTTAATTATATTTTTCCTCTTCCTTCAACCATTTCTCATCGTTTTATTATTGTATAACAACAGAGGTTTGTATATTTTTCTTTCTTTTTTATTAAAAAAAATTGTATATTCTTACTCAATAATCTAATCAGTGCAATTTCCGGTGTTTTTCGTTGTTGTTGTTGTGGTTATCACTTGTTCAGTGGTAAATCGTCTTATTTTTCTGTACTCCGTAGATTTAGTTGATGAAGAAAATTAAGAAGATAATGTAGGTTGATTAGTTGACTAAAATTCCATTTATTTGAATTAATAAAAGGTATGTGTGTTTTAGCCAAAGGTCAACTGTTAAAATGTTAATGAAGTTGCGTACGTCTGTTATTTCATGCTTTTATTATCCCTTACCCTGATAGCATATTGCGTCTTCTATATTCTTGTCTCTGTTCTAGATTGCAACCCCAAGATAGCTTCTTGATATGTCAAAAATATGAGGAATTAATCACTTCAGAGTTAGTAAGTGTTCAAATATTCTATCTCTTCACACCTAAAGTTAGTGTGACAGAAGTGTTAGTGATACAAAAGAGACCTTACAACATCAGACAAATATTCTACACTTTACTTTGTTTCTGGTGATCAGTTGACAAGTTTCTGAGTTTACTTAGGTTATCTAAGAATATATATATATATATATATATATATATATATATATATATATATATATCAGCAAATAGACAGGTTGCCAGTTACCAGTTTTATTGGCATAATGATAAAACTAGGTAAATCCTTATGAATTCAGTTTCCTGACTACTAATACCCTTTGATGTTATGAAAAACCACACATTCAATTTTACAGGGTTCTTAACATGATAGAAAGATATAATTTACACGACTAGAAATAAAAAGATTTTCACCCTGATCACTCAAAATTTAGGATACTGTGAACATGTGCATCAAGTTATTTCATATGCGGTAACAAGGTTGTTTGGTGTGAATTGACTTGTGTGCATGAAAAATTGTAAGTCAGCACTTTCATTCAATTAGAGTAAGTTAATTTTAGTAAGAAAAAAGAAGTCCGAATTCTATGTTTTTTTATTTATTTGTGTAAGTTACATGTACGATAATCCTTTGGGAATGTACCATGATAAATTATGATGAAACTTCCGTATACCGTCTACTAGAGTAATATAGGTTTTCGTGTGTGTTGAGTTTTTCGCTATCGTCTTTGTAATTCACCAGAATGTAAATGACATTATAAATTTTAATGTCAAATGAAATTGTGTGAAGAAAAATTGATTTCTGATAAATTTTCACGTATAATATTGTTTAAAAGGGAATGGTGCATAGTTTTATTTCGTATTGAATATTAAAATCATTATTTTACAACTAAAATGACGAATGAATAACATCTCCAGCATCCTTCTACTGTGCAGTTGCTTCCTTTGTCAATATCAGTAGTAACTCAATCGACCGATGTTGTAGTTGTCACATATTAATCTTAGTTTGGGCACCATTGAGACCAGGTGACACTAAAAATATCTTACGTCCTAGTATAAAACCAGTACTGTGCACTCTTGACTGCTAGGAATTGGACTCAGGACCATCAGGTTTCTCAGCAAATGTTTAACTGTTAGAACCACTTGTTTGGCCTCTAACAGTACAATTCCAACTCATTCAGTTTATGATAGAGTACGATTGATATTCAATCCTAGTGTTGATGACTGCTTCACTCGTGACTTGTTTGAACTTCATCAGTCATCCACAAATCCATTTGAACTGATTCTATTACTTGTTAAGAAGATTCTGACGTGTTTTCATACGAATAACTGTGGTGATTTTAAACTGTCGCATTAAGAACGATAACATTGTTGT